TCTCTGGTGTGGGGGCTCCTGTACCAGCATCAGCAACAGCAGCACTGACTGCACCCAGGGTGCACCCCGGTTGAGGCCACCAGATGTTCCAATGTGGCTATGCTACTAAGTCAAAGATGCAAACCCACATCTGTGCCCTAGGAGAAGACAAAGGGCTGGGGCAGCCTGGGCAGCCTGGTCTCCAGCCTGGCTCTGCTACTGGCTCTCAGTGGCTGATGGCCGGGCACGTGGGCAGATCCAGCTGGATGCCCAGGTGAGTGGTGGGAGGCAGTGTGTGTGGTGGGGAGGGGGAATGCCGGCATTGATGTTGGCCTGGCTGAGCATCGGAGCCACATGCATGTAAGAGGAGCTGGGTCAGGGACAGTATCTGAGTGGGGAACGCAGGCCCTGCACTGCCCTGGGGAGGGAGGAAGGGAGGGGTTGGTAAGAGGAGGCTTAAAGGCCTTAGGGTTTCCTGCACACAAAGCCCCCAGATCTGCTGAAGAGTGGGGAGAATGCAGGTGGAAGGGCGCAGAGAAGGTCTCTGAGAGGCAGTGGGGCCGCTGTGAAGGGAGAGGGGAGGCTGAGGCTCTGCAGCGGGGCCTTCCATGCCAGGCTGCAGGCTGCAATTTTTTTTTTTTTTTTTGAGACGGAGTTTCGCTCTTGTTACCCAGGCTGGAGTGCAATGGCGCGATCTCGGCTCACTGCAACCTCCACCTCCTGGGTTCAAGCAATTCTCCTGCCTCAGCCTCCCGAGTAGCTGGGACTACAGGCGCATGCCACCATGCCCAGCTAATTTTTTATATTTTTAGTAGAGATGGGGTTTCACCATGTTGACCAGGATGGTCTCGATCTCTTGACCTCGTGATCCACCTGCCTCGGCCTCCCAAAGTGCTGGGATTATAGGTGTGAGCCACTGCACTCGGCCCAGGCTGAAATTTTTAACGCAAGAGACGGACACTATCTGACACGTCACTGGGGAGGAAGCCTTGGAAGGTGAGATAGGGAAGATGGGAGAAGACAGGGTCAAGCATGGCAGAGGGGGCGATGGCCAGAGGGGCTGGACCCTGGCACGGGCGTGGTGGGCAGGAAGCAGCAGGGCAGGGGAGCCAGTCAGGGTGGAAATGGGGCCCCGTAGAGTGAGCCTCCCAGGCCGTCCTTGCTGAGGTCTGGCTGCCGTCTCTTTGTCAAGTCGAAGACAAGGCCGTTGTGCGTGCAGGGAGTGCAGTCCGGGACGGTGTGGAAGGTCTGGGCCGCACTTTGCGGAGAATGGAAATGTGGCTTTGGACTGCCAGGCAAGGCATCAGGCTGGGCTCCGTCCTATCCTGCAGGCTCCTCCAGAGCCCTCACCTACTCCTACAGGGCAGGGTGTGCCAGGGAGGGCTGAGCAAGGGGAGGGGTGAGGGAGGGAGAGGCCACGGCCTGGGAGGAGGGGAGAGAGGAGAGGGCCAGGCAGGACGTCATCCCTGGGATGCAACATGGGCCTATGCCCAGAGGAGGTGGCTGTAAATATTAGGTATGATTGCCACCCAGGAAAACACTTACAGGACAGACAGAACATCTGCAATCTTATCCACCTGCACAAAAGGCATGAACACCCCCCCCACCCTCCAGATAAGCAGGCAACATTTACAACAGATAACTCAAATACAAGAACTGGGAATGGCTAAAAAGGCCAAAAAAGGCAGGCGTGGTGGCTCACGCCTGTAATCCCAGCACTTTGGGAGGCTGAGGCAGGTGGGTCACCTGAGGTCAGGAGTTTGAGACCAGCCTGGCCAACGTGGTGGCATTTCATCTTTACTAAAAATACAAAACTTAGGTGGTCATGGTGGCTCATGTCTGTCATCCCAGCTACTTGGGAGACTGAGGCAGGAGGATCGCTTGAACCTGGGAGGCAGACATTGCAGTGAGCTGAGATCCCAGCATTTCACTCCACCCTGGGTGACAAGAGCAAAACTCTGTCTCAAAAAAAAAAAAAAAAAAAAAAAAGAAAAGAAAAAAAAGATTCAGCCTCACTAGGGATTGAAGAAAGGCAAATTAAACCTAGATCCTGTGGAGTGCAGTGGCACACACCTGTAATCCCAGCACTTTGGGAGGCTGAGGTGGGAGGATCACTGGAAGCCAAGAGTTCCAGACCAGCTGGGGCAACACAGCAGGACCCGTGTCTCTAAGAACACTTTTAGAATGATCCAAGCATGGTATTGCGTGCCTGTAGTCCCAGCTACTTGGGAGCCTGGGGAAGTATTGCCTGAGCTTAAGAGGTTGGGGCTACAGAGAGTTATGACTGTGTCACACTGTGCTCCAGCCTGGGTGACAGAGCAAGACCCCATCTCTAAAAAAAAGAAACTTAAAGAACAAGGTCCCATGTTTCCACCTATCAAATTGGCAAAGGTTTAGATGAGAAATACTGTATCGTGTTGACAAGATTGTAAATTAGAATAATCTTTCTAGAAGGCAATTTATAGTAACCATCAAGAACACCAAAAATGTTCCTAGTTTTTGACTCGACTTCTACATTTCTGTGAATACATCTTAGGAGAAATTAGAAATGCAAACCAAGCATTGTTTTTAAAAAGGTATTCACTGCAATGTTGTTGATGGTGGCACAAAACTGGAGGGCAGCAAGGTGTCCAGCCGAGTACTTCTGAAACAGTCATGATGAAATATAAAGCAAGGGTAAGTAAAGCTTTTGTCCGAACGAACCTTGAAAACAGCAAGCTATGTGAAAGACAACGGTCAGGAGAGACCACATGTTTAGGATTCCATTTGTATGGAATGTCCAGAAGGGAGGTCCATGGAGACAGAAGGTAGAATAGTGGTTGCCAAGGGCTTGGGGGCACAGGGAGTGATGGCTAAAAGGCATGGGGTTCTTTCTAAGTGATGAAACTGTTCTGAACTTGACTATGGTGATGGCTGCAAATATCCGTGGAGATAAAGAAAACCATTCAACGGGCTGGGTACGGTGGCTTGCACCTGTAATCCCAGCACTTTGGGAAGCTAAGGCAGGTAGATTGCCTGAGTCCAGGAGTTCGAGACCAGCTCAGGTGACACAGTGAGACCCTGTCTCTACAAAAAATCCAAAAGTTAGCCAGGTGTGGTGGTGCACACCTGTAGTCCCAGCTACTCGGGAGGCTGAGGTGGGAGGATCACGTAAGCCTGGGAAGTGAGGCTGCAGTGAGCTGTGATGACACCACTGCACAACAGCTGGGCCAACAGAGTGAGACCCCTCCAAAAAAACAACAAAAAAGAAAACCGTTGAACTGTGCCCTTTAAATGGGCAAACTGCAAACTATATCTCAATGAAGCTATTTGAAAAGTCCCCACAATACACGCCCCCCTCCGAAAAGAAATGCTTATGAGGAGTTTGTAACAAGCTGGGAATCTGCTAAATAGGAAACACGCGTTGGGAAACACAGGGTGTTTGGGACACGACATGGCACAGATGGTTTGAGATCAACTGTGATTACACGGAAGAAAAATGAAAGCTGGCCAGAAAGTGAGGCTAACCACGGTCGCACAGCCGGAGATTTCCTTCTCTTCTTCGTACCTCTCGGGACGTTGCAAACTCCCTCCCGCCAATGAGAAGGGAGGCAGAGCCCTCCACAGAGGAGAACAGAGCTCTGTGCAGGGCCGGGCCCCTTCCCGTGGGGGCCCCCTTGAGTCTTCAGCCGGGGAAATGAGACACAGTGACTGGGACTGGGATGGGTGTGGCCAACCTGTCCCCCGAGGTGGAGGAGCTGGCCGGGGGTCTGAAAGAAGGCGGTCTGAGGCCACGTCCAGCCCTGCGCCGGCTGCCTTTTTCTTGCAAGGAGAGCAACTCCGGGCTAACTGTTCTACTCGCCTCCTCATTCTGAATGCTCTTGGGTGCTGGGTACCCGGCTGTGGAAGCTGGAGGGGGAAGCCTTGGGGATCCAAGGGTGTACCCCATTCCACGCTCTCCAGGCTGGCCTCTGCAGCAGCCAGAGCGGGCTCTCTAAATCTCCAGTGCGCCAGGCCTTCCCTGTGCCAAAGCCTTCCTCAGTGCCCTCCCTGCAGCCTCATGCCCAGCCCTGCCGTATCCTCCCAGCCAAACCCCCAGGGGCCAGCTCCTGTGTTCTCCAGAGGGGCTCCCATGCTGGGCACAGCCCCTCTCCATTCCCGAGACCCTCGTCACCTGTCGCTTCCCCCATGGACCATGGGCCAATCCAGGGACAGGGACTATCCACCTGCATGCCCATGAGCCAAGGAGGGACTGAGGGGTGGTGAGAGGGGTCTGTGAATACAGAGCGTGGGCTGCCAGGTTGGGGGCTCTGTGAACCTGGAGAGGGTGGGCTACAGGGTCGGGGGCTCTGTGAACCTGGAGAGGGTGGGCTGCAGGGTCGGGGGCTCTGTGAGCCTGGAGAGGGTGGGCTGTAGGGTCGGGGGCTCTGTGAACCTGGAGAGGGTGGGCTGCAGGGTTGGGGGGACAGACTGTGAATCCGGAGGGTGGGGTTTGGTCCTGGATGCCCCATGGGATTTGCCTTATTGAACAAAATGTAGTAAAGGGCATAACATGTCATTGTCACACAGGGAACACAACCATGTGACTACCTCCCAGACCAAGGAACACAATGCCATCAGCACTCCGGAAGCCCCCCCCACCCCGCATAACTGCTATGTGCACTGCCTGTGGGGTGACACCTGTACCTTCTGTGGGACTAGGTCCTGCTGGGGACTCCTTTCTAGCTTCTGTGCCTCTGTGTCCCAATCGAGACAGCAAAACGCCAGGCAAAAACATCTCAAAGCCCTTCCCACCTCTTCCAGGCTCTGAATTTGTCAAGTGGCACAGAAGAGAGCATCACAAGGCAGGCTTCCTGGAGACGGTGGCGCTGGGCAGACCCTGGACAGCCGACGAGGGCGTCCAGTGGCTGAGCTGGGAGGATGGAGGTGAAGCCTCAGCTAGACAGATTCTTGCACAAACACACACAAATCTCCCAGTCAACTCCCAGCGGGCAATTAGGCCTTAGCTCAGAGAGGGCAGGGGCCCGGCCCGCTGCGCTCACCTCCAGCACGCGCCCCGTGATGTATTTCTCACAGCTGTCACAGCGGATGCCAAACTTGGCGTGGTAGTCAGCTTCGCAGTAGGGCAGCCCGTCCCTGCAACGAGACAGGCAGTCAGCACGGGGTGGGGGGGGGTCACCCGGGGACCTCCGAGCGCTTGACCCTTGAGCTCTAACAGCCCTCACCAACAAGAGGGTCTGCCCTCAGAGTGGGGGAACGCCCACCTCCTCCTGCTCAGATAACAATGCCTCCAGCAGGCAGTGTCATTGTGCGCTCACAGGCACCAGCCCCACGAAAAATATGAGGACAATGGTCCCGTTTCACAGAGGGAGAAACTGAGGAGCAGAGGCCAGCCCACCTGCCCAGCAGGTGGCAGGGGCTGACAGCTGCAGCTTCCGGGAAACGAGAGCTGCTTCTGCAGACCTGACTCTTCTTTCTGGCTCCTTCCATCCAAAGTTCAACATCTGGGGCGCCTTAGAAAACTGTGAGCCAAAAAGGGGGGACAGCAAGGCTGCCCGCTTTGGGGATGGGGCTGGAGGATGATACAATGCCCAGGCAAGGGTGTAGGTTAGGATGAGACATCACTGTCCCCCGTGCACCCCGCCCTGCATCACAACCCCCAAATATGAGGGGTGACGAAGGCTGGCTCTGGCCACACGTGGAGGAGCCCGGCCTTCTGCAGTGCAGGAAAGAGCAGGAGGGCTGCACAGATGCGTCCGTCCCTCTCCCCACGCACACGCGCCGCGTGCCTGTTATGTGCCAGGCACATAGGACTCAGGGAATTCTGGTCGCATGCCGCCATCCTGGGCCTGCCCCTCGAGCAGTGGCTGCCTCGGACCTCCATAAATGAGCTGTAGGGAACAGCCGTCTGCAGGGTCATCCCTGGCACAGCTCCTGAGCTGACCTTCAAAACTGTTATCATGACTATTATGAGATCAACACGCCAGGGCGGATGTCCGCGTAGACGGGGAGGGATGGTCAGCAGTGATCACTGGTGTGGGGAGAGGCTGCTGAGTCGTGGTTAAGTGAACAGGCCTGCACTCAAATGCCACGTCCCAGCTGAGTGACCCTGGGCAAGTCGCTTAACCTCTCTCAGCCTCAGCTTCCCCATTGCAAAATGGGGAAAATAATAGTAAGGACTAATGAAGAGAATGGCAGTCACTCTCCAGGGGAGGTGCTTGCCAAAGTGGCTGGTGCCACCGGCATTACTAACCAGGGCTGTCCTCCCAGCCCCAGCTGCACCAGCAGGTGTGGGGGTGGCTGGCACAGAATAGGGTGCTGGCCACTCCAATGCACCCCCTTCCAGCATCGCTGAAGTTGCTGTAGTGTTCCAAATTTGGTTTGAGTTTTGACACAGCTGTGATAGAAGGGAGAATTTCTTTCTCGGGCTGTCATGGATTAGACCCCGGCTCACTTCCTTGTCCCCCAAGCTCTGACTGTTGCTAGGTCCCCAGGATGTGGGGTCATGAGTCCCAGGCCTGGGTGGCCCTCTCTGGCTGCAGCCTGGAAGTGGCCCACAGCTCAGATGAGCCATCACTCAGAGAGTAGCAGCCCTTCCTTCCACGTGAGAGGAAGACACAAAATGAGTCCTCAGGCTTACTTCCAAATGCCGCTGACCTCAGGGCTCCCGTAATAACCCACAAACGGGTGTATTTGCAGCAGACGGGAGGTTAAAGATAACATCTCCATGGTAACACCAACGCCCTCCTCGTCAATTCTGGGACAGCTCTGGAGGCTGCTAAGTAACATGCATGGTGTGGGTGAGCTGCCAATGCTGCGGGAGGGGCCTGCCGCCTGCATGGGGCTGGGCATTTTTGTTTTATATTAAAGTGCTGTGCACACCACACCGGGCAGTCCCTGGCTGACCGTGATACAGGTGGGAAACTCGTGCACCTCCCAGGCCCTCACCCTGGGGGCAAGCTCACCTTGGTTTGGGGTTTTACTTAAAAGGATGCATTGGAGATAATTGCAGATTCCCCAGCAGTTGTAAGAAACAATACTGAGAGATCCCAGGGACCCTTCACCCAGTCTCCCCCAGTGGTGACGCGGAATCAGTACACGCTGTCAGCCAGGAAGTGAACACGGGCAGCCTTCGGGCATCACTCAGGCTCCGTGTCACATGCACGCGATGTGCACGCTTATGGGCGTGTGTGCCTTGCTCTGTGCAGTCCCATCATAGGACGATTTTCATCTCGGTCAGTTACTGTGATGACTGTGCTCCCATTGTGCATTGAGAACAAACACAGTGTAGACAAAGGGGCCAGAAGACCCCCCAGCTTCCAGCAAGGGGCGCTCTGCACAGAGAAGTTGCCCTCTTCCGCTCATCCACCTGCATCGCCCCCCACCTGCACCATGCGGAACGCTTGCCTGTCTCAGGTCCCCGACCCCCGAGGGTTAAAACACGCCCCAGCTCCTGGCCCTGAGCTGCCTCCATTCAAGGCCATGATCTTCCCAGAAGGCTTCCCCAGTCCCCAAACCAGCCACCACCCCAGCTTGACTGCACATTTGTGGACATGTTTGGTGCCGGTGGCAGCCGCCCCAGGGGCCCCTGTGATCTGCTGAAGACAGAGTGCGTGGCTGTGGGGCCCCAGCCCCTCTCCTCGTCCCTGTGCTGGCCTCTGCTGACATTGCTTCACCTCCTGCAGGACATCCAGGAGCCAGAATGGGCAGCCGATCCCATGGGGATGGTGGAGGGGGACTCAGAGACGGGGCAGGAAGACACTTCCAAAACGCAGCCCTGGCAGTCTGCTTCTCCTCCACGAAAAGGGAGCTGGACGCCGCAAATGCCATTACAGAAGCCAGGGCTGGCCGGGAAGGGAGACTCAAGGCTGTCGGGACAAATTCGCTAGGTTCTGGGCCGCGCTTCTTACCCAGCGGCAGGACAGTCGTAGCTGCGTGAGAGACGCAGAGAGTGTGGCCCCGGGGACACGAGCAGAGCGAGGGACCCCGCAGAGTCGGGAAGCCTGAGCAGAGGTGCTCACTGGAGCCTTCCCACACTTACTTGCTGATGTACTCGGCATTCAGGAGCTTCCCACAGCTCTTGCACTTAAAACAGCCCAAGTGCCAGTGCTTGTCCAAGGCTACCAGGGCCTGGCCGTTCCTGATTTCTGTGCCGCAGCCCCCACAACCTGGAAGAAAGAGAACAGAACACAGACACCCCCACCATTGTGAGAGATGTCGGGCAGGCCCCTGCTCTGCAGATTCCATGAAGGGCCCTGGGGCAGCTGGGAGGGGAGGGACAGACCACAGCCACAGGGAGTATATGCCAGGTTGAACCCAAGTATGACTCAATGTGCCCACCAAAGGGAAATGGACCGGACGAGACAGGGCTGAGCCAGCTCCCAGCCCCCAACCCAGTCAGCCCTGGGGAGTCTCACACTGCACCCGGCCAGCCAAACCCAACTTCTCTCTTTCTGTCATCCCCACGGTGACTGGCACTCTCCACCCTGTGGCCACCAGCCTTGTGGGTCCCTGCCTGGCCTCCTGGTGCCCTCTCTGTCCCTCCCAGCCATGCCTGCTCTGCTTACTTGCCGCATGTCCCAGGCCTGGTCTTTCCGCTCAGGACCTCCAGGTTCTGGCCCTGCCCTGAGCAGTGGCCCACAGCCCCTCCACCTTATGAGCTGCCACACAGGGGGGCCACAGCCAGCATCAAGGGTGTGCTGCAGGCAGGGGGGTGCCCCTGGCCAAGTGGGTGGAGCAGGCTGGGGGGCTGGGGAGAGCCTGGGACATGGGCCTGCACACGGTGCGTGTGAGTGCGTCTGCATCTGTGTGCACGGCGTGTGACTGTAAGCATGCGGTTGCATCTTGAGGGAAAATGCGCATTTGTATGTCACCTGAGCCTTCCCGTGAACACGCGACGGCAGGGGTGGGAGTGGGAGGCGGAGTGGCAGAGATGCCCACGACAGCGTCCCCAGGAGAAAGGGCCTCTCACAAGGTGACCACCTGGTGACAACAGCAACAGCAACTGGGACAGAGCTGGGCCCACGGAGTCAACCACCAGGCGTGCATTGATGGATGGATGACACGCGCCCTCACTCCAGGGACCTGGCATAGCTGAATGTGTGTCAGTGTGTGTGTGACTGGGTGTGTCTCTGTGTTTGTGTCTGCATGTGTGAGTAGAGTGTGTCTGTGTGTTTGTGTGTGTGTCTGTGTGTGCTTAAGGGTATGGTTGTGTTGGGGGCATGACCAGGGCAGGGCCTCGAACCCCGTGATGGACAGGCAGGGAGAGGATGACTGACGAACACGGCCCTGCTGCCCGCAGGAGCCCCTGAGTAATTCACAGCCCAAGCAGGGACCCCTCGTGTCCCGACGCGCTGGGTACAAATCCTGCCCCTCACTACACGCTGGGTCACACTGAGTGTGTTCCTCCTGCGGGAGCCCCCATTTCCTAATCGTTGGGTGGGGAGATCACCTCCTCACTTGGTGCCTGCCCGGATCTGATGTTAATTTACACAGAAGACCTGGCCCAAAGCCCTGCATCCTGGGTGAACAGGGAGCACCGGTGAGGCCACACATGGGCCTGCTGTGTGGTAAGAGCTCAGCAGAGGCCGCTTTCCGGCATGGCTTCATGAGTTTCTTTGGCAGAGACCTGAGTCATATTGTTTTTAACAACTAAAACACCTAACACTCACAAAACTGTTGGTCAAGCTCAGGATTTCCTAAGTGACCACGCTGTGCATATTCACATGCTGCTTTGGAAAACTGCCAGAGAGCAGATTCAAACTCTGAGGGAAGTGGGGCTTCTTACTCATCTCAGGACCCTGGGTGCCTTGCTCAGGCTGTGGGCTTGAGAGACACTCGGGGAATGAATGAATGAATGAATGAATGAATGAATGCCAAAGTAAGGGGACACCTTCACCCTTCTCAGTCCAGGAGGCGACCCTCCCCCATCAACCACCTCCTTCCCCATGCTGCTTCCCATGTCTCTCAGAGGCAGACAACACATGGTCCTGGCTTTGCCTCTTGGCCCCCATTACCTAGCAGGTGATGAGGCCACATTCTGCAAAGCTCTGCATCAGTGGCTCTCAACTTGTGGCACTTTTGTCCAAGAGACAGTTGGCAATGTCTGGCACCCCTTTTGATTATCATAACTTGGAGGGGGTTCCAGTCATCTAATGGGTAGTGCCCCTTCCACGATAGCCACCTTCAGCAAAGGGCTTCTCGGGCTCCCATGGGAATGGTGCTGGAGCTGAGGTCCCCGGCTCCGAGCCTTTGCTGGCTTCTCTGCACGTCAAGGGAGCACAGCACACAGGACTGCGTGGTGGCCAGAGGATGGACAGCAGAGATCAGTGGTCAGATTCCCACCCTGCCCCCCACAGGCTGTGACCTGTGAAAGCCACTTCACCTCTCTGTGCCCCTGGAGTGAGAGCACGTGTGATCCGTGGATAAATGCACACGCAGGTGACCGGTGCAGTGGGCCCACCTCTGCGCTCACTGCCATGGCTGTTGCCAGGTGGCCCCCTCGCAGGAGGCCTACTCCCTCTGGATGCCGTTGTGGGCATCTCTAACACTCTGCCTCCTGACGTATTGGCTGGTGCCCTCCCTTGCCGAGGAGCTCCCTTCACCTTGAGCTCCAAGCTGCAGGGGGAGTGAACCTCACACCTGCCTCGGCCCCCTCATTCTCCCATCAGCATGTGGAGATGACAGCAAGGTGCAAAAGGAGTGCTGCCATGGAAACGGCATCCTCACGTTCTAAACACACCTGGAGCCCCACGTCGCTTTGCGGGTCTGCACATGGCAGCTCAGAGCCCTGTGTGACAGCCTGTGGACCAGAGCTGCCAGCGGCAGGACATCCCTAGCATGGCAGAAGGGGCCTCAGGACACCCCAACGTCAGCTGGCTACAGGCGCATGCACCTTGGCTGGCACTGCCCATCAGTGGCAACGGCATGACCCGCCGAGAACCATCCGCTTTCCTATTTCCCCCAGAATGCTCCCTCTTCCACAAGATGTGGTCTTGGTAGGGGTGGGGTGGGCCAGGACGTGCCAGGCAGCCTCCTGGAGCCTCAGCTGGGAGCTCAGGGGCTGTGGGTGCAGGGGCCAGACCCCCACTGCAGCACCCCAGGTCTAACCAGGAGTCAGAGGAGTAGGGGGGCGTCTCAGATTCTAAATTAAATCTGAGATTGGGTTTTGGAAACAAGGACTCTGACAGAGTTCCAAAACTTGAAAGTGATTGAAAATCCATGAACGTGCCTTGCAGTTTCATTTAGGGACCTGTACTGAGGAAGAAGAGCTGCTGGGAAAGATGAATCACGCTCAAGTTCAGCCCCAATGCACCGCAGTCAGGACTAGACAGGGACACAGACCTGCCACGGGCCAGCTGAGGGGCGGAGGCTCCTGGGAGGATCCTGGGTTTACCTCCTAGCCGCAGCCAGGGGTTCTCCTGTTTCCTACACAGCCAGGGGGTTTACCCCCCAGCCTCACCCCAAGCTCTCTTGTTTCCCAGGTAGCCAGCAAGGTGGGGGGGGCACCCACCCTCTTAGCACCACCCTTGCAGGAGCAGAGAACACAGGGATTCCACGTGCCACAGCCCAGGCGGTGAAGCCCCATTGCTGGAAGAGTGGAGGACCCCAAAGCCCCATCCTTGGGCCCGGGACCCTGGGGCTGCCCACGCCTCTTTCTGCCCCTTCATCCCTGACTCTGGTGGGGCCTCCCCAGGTCCAGAGGGTGGCCCTAAAGAGCCAGGGTCAGCCAGACCCAAGAAGTAGCTGTGGGGTCTTCTCAGCATGGACGGTGCTTGCCATCTCTTTTCTCCACACCAAGCCCATCTTTCCCAATGGCCAGCCTGCTGCCCACACCCCTGGCTGACCCACACCCACATGGACGGCCCAGAGAGGGGACACCGCTTGTGCCCAGCACACAGTGGGGAGTGCAGTGTCCACCCAGGGTGGCCGGGCTCAGAGCTGCTGCTGGGTCGGCATGGCACTCACACTCTGGGAGGGCTGTCCTGTGACAGGCTGGCGGCCAGCAATGGGTCAGGCCTGGACAGCTTGGGGCCTCAGGGGAAGGGGCAGAGCTTCAGGGACACAGGGGACCCCCCCAACGGGTGTGGCGGGGAAGATGAGGCATGCGGGGCTTTGGTTGCCCACTAAAGCATTTCTCGTTCCTGAGTGGCCTGCTTGGGGCAGCAGAGGGAAGCTCAGGGCCACGGGACTCAAGCTTGAGCTCTGCCTCACGAGCCAGCTACCCTCCCCTCCCCAGGGAAGGACAGCTGCACAGGCAGCCATGTGAGGCCCTACCCTACTGCCCCCTGGCCCAGAAAGCTGGCCAGGCAGATGGTGTTACTTCCTAAAATCTGGACTGACTTGGCTCTACCCTGCTCCACAACCATCTATGGCTCCTCATGGCCTCCAGATGTACGGAGCGCACCATGGCGTGGCTTTGGAGGAAGTTGCCACCTGGTTTTGGTGTCTTGGTGCCATTCCTGTTCCCTGCCTCCACGCTGCAGCCCCGCCCACTTACACGGGTCAGGTGGGTGCACCCAGCACATTTCACAGGTGTCAGTCTTTGCCTTCCCTTCTCACCTGCAGCATTCTCGCCCTTCCACACCCACCTGCTGGAATTCAGCCTGTCTCTCCAGTTTCAAAACCAAAGCTACCTCTTTGGATGGCAGTCAGGACTAGACAGGGACCACCGTCTGGTCCTAGCTGGACGAGCTCACTTGCTTTGGAGTTGAAAGGCCTCAGCCCACCCCTCGGCACTTCTGCTCCTGGATGGATGCTGGGCACCCAGAACACCCACCCTGCCAGATCCAGGGCACTGCTGCACCTCAGAAGAGCTCCTCCAGGCACAGCTGCTCGGAAACAAACGGAGGCTGCAGTGGAGGCCTACAGACATCCACACAGGAGCCAGAACCGCTGTTTCATGCTTTTGAGGCACAGACCGGGGAGGGGTCAGGTTACATTACTAGATGTCTAGGGGTCAGCGGAGCATTTTTTCTTTGAAAATGCAAATTTGATATTTTAATATAAATTTACATTTGGAGAGGGCAGAACCTTTCTGCCAAGTACATTGAAATGTTCAAAAAAAAATTCTCAGACAGTGATTATGTGGTCCATCCCCTCCCCCACCTTTTCTTCTGAGACAGTCTCACTCTGTTGCCCAGGCTGGAGCACAGTGGTGCAATCCCAGCTCACTGCAACCTCTGCCTCCCAAGTTTAAGCGATTCTCCTGCCTCAGTCTCCTGAGTAGCTGGGATTACAAGCGGGCACTACCATATCCGGGTAATTTTTGTATTTTTACTAGAGATGGGGTTTCACCATATTGGCCAGGCTGGTCTCAAACTTCTGGCCTCAAGTGATCCTCCTGCCTTGGCCTCCCAAATTGCTGGGATTACAGGTGTGAATCACTGAGCCCAGCCCATATTTCCCTTTTGAATTTGGCTCCCAGGAAGCTTTGGACAAACTTTTCAAAACTGATCTCCTTTTAAAATTTGCCATAGAGCTTTTGATGATGATCTGAATTTAATTATAATAGTACTACTGTTTCTGAAGCAAATTCTCAAAAATTCAATCAATCCAGGCCCCAGCTAGAGATACACTTTTGAACGGAGGACTCTCCTAGCAAACCCCAAAGCAGCACCCTCCCCCCTCGCCCACTGCTGCTGTGAACTTGCCTCCCGAGGGATGCGGGCTTTGCTTCATTTCACAGAGTCAAATTATAACCAGCCCACAGCCAACACTGCACTCCCGGGAGGCCGGAAGGGAATCGCCTCTGTGGAGATCTCAGCATGGCAGGCAAGGTAGGGGGAAGGAGGCGCTGGGCTCAGGAGGCGAAATTAATTGCAGACAGGAGGCTGACTCTGGAAATCAGTGGAAACCCCTCCTCTGTCTGGGGACACCTCAGCCACCACGGTGCTCAGAGCAGGCTTCTGCAGCAGGTGCCTGGCAGCGGCAGGTCCTGGCAGGCTGGGCTCCCCACCCAGGGCCTGTGTGCCATCTCATGCCCAGGCAGAGCCACCCCGGCTGGGAAGGGTGACCTGGCTGCCCCCTCCTTGCTGATACCTGGCCCCACACCTGCGAACCCCTCACACTTCAGCTGGCATTTGTTTTTTCACGCTAACAACCTCCTGCTTCCTAATTCGAGAAGCATCTATTGAGTCCCCACTGCATACACACCTGGCCTGACTGACTCCTGGGAAGTGGAGCAGTGAACCCGAAGGACCCCGACCTCAGGAGCCTGGAGCTCAGTGCTTTTCTACGGGTTCCCCCAAAGGGGTCCCGAGTGGCCTGGAACTAACAAAGGGGAGCTGAGGGGAGTGAATGCTGAGGGAGAGGACCTGAAGGAGACCTGGAAGGCTTCCTGGAGGAGGTGGGCTAGAGCTGGGAAAAAGCAGCAATGGCATTAGCTGGGGAAGCAGGAGCAGCACATGGGGTGGAGGAAACAGGCAGTGCAAAGGCTTGGTGGCACGAGAGCCCCAGAAACTTCTGTCCCTGGCTCCCTCCTCACATTTATCCACAACGTGATAAATGCAGTGACAGCTGCTGCTGCTCTGGGTCCTCGTCTGTCTGGCCCTGTTCCTGGGCACTGCAGAGACCACACCCCCAACTCAGACCCCCCATCCAGCACGCCTCCCACTTGGCACACCCCCCCCTCAGTACCCCCCCAGCACCCCTCACTGAGCACCCCCAGTTCAGCATGCCCACTCAGCACCCCCCAACTCAGTACCCCCAGCACCCCCCAACTCAGTACCCCCAGCACCCCCCACTCAACAATCCACACTCAGCACCCCCTCGCTTAGCATGCCCATCCACTCAGCATCCCCTCCCACTCAGCAACCCCTACTCAGCAACCCCCCCACTCAGCGTCCCCCCACACAATGCCCACTTACTTCGGAGGCCCTGGGACAGGTGCGTGCTGCTGCCCACTGACACGGGCAGGGAGCACTTCTGGCACATGCATTCCTTCCCATTGAAGGTCACTCGGTCCCCGGGGGGGAAGGGCAGCCTGAAACAAGAGAGCTCATTACCAGCCAGGCCCACCTCCAGCTCCTCTCTGGGGGACCCCTGCCCCAGAGCAAGCAACCGGGGCCAATGTCTCCCCAGGGCCTCGCAGAGGTACCACTCACAGGCCAAGGACGAAGGGCCTCTCCACCCAGGCACTGCTGCGTCCTCACAACAGGACCTCAGGTAGTCACTGACATCTGAGCCTCAGTTTTCTCATCTACCAACAGGCAGAATCATTGCACCTAAGGCGGCAGTGAGGACCAGACAAGGGCCAGCCCCGTGCTTGGCACACAGCAACATGCCAGGCTTCCTGGACCACCAGCCCCTCCAGCCCACCCTGCCTTCTCGGCCACATGGGATCCCTTATCCATATCAGCTCGGCACCAAGGGCAGCAGCTATGCCGACTGGGCATCTCCTGTGTGCTCAGGGCCAGCTATTGTGACAGGTGCCCCATAGGTATGACTCATTAATAACCCCACGTCACTCAACTGAGTGTTCGCTTCATGTTTTCTCTACAGGTGAGAAACTGGAGTTCAGAGCTAGGACAATGTGGATACCAGTCAGATTCAGAATCAAACCAAGACCTGTCTGGCATCAAAGTTCCACGATTTAGCTGCTTGGGCCTCCTAAGAAGGCAGTGTCTTTAAAAGCACACCTCATAGACAGGAAGATGCTATATAGTCAGAGCCTGTCTTTATTTAAAATTCTGGCATTTTGCTCTAAATGAGTTGTTTGCATTTATTTCAATTTTAAAAAATATTGCATTAAAATAGCATGCGCTTGACTACTGAGTTTTTTGGCACCATTTTAAAGTCTCCATCGGCAGCAAGTGCCTGGAGCAAGGACGGATGAGGGACAGCAGAGCCGGCCCATCCCCCTGCAGCCCCGAGGATGTCTTTGGAGACTGAGGGGTGACTCAGGCAGCTGCATCTAGCAAGCTAAGGCCAGGCCACTGGCAGACGGGGCCAGAAGCACAGCCTAAAAATGCTGCCCTGTCCACCCTCAATAGCTGCTACCACCAAGCTCCCAGCAGCTGCTGCCCTTCCCCAGCTGAGCCCGGCCAGAGAACCAGATGCTTTAAAGGAAGAAGGCTGTGGAAGTGTCAGTCCGCAGGTGCCCTTTAAAGCCCCTTCTTGGCCAGGCACTGTGGCACACACTTGTAATCCCAGCACTTTGGGAGGCCAAGGTGGGAGGATCACTTGAGGTCAGGAGTTTGAGACCAACCTGGCCAATGTGGTGAAACCCTGTCTCTACTAAAAACACAAAAATTAGCCAGGTGGGGTCGCAGCTACTCAGGGGGCTGGGCCAGGAGAATCGCTTGAACCCGGGAGGCAGAGGTTGCAGTGAGCAGAGATTGCATCACTGCACTCCAGCCTGGGCGAGAGTGAGATTTCATATCAAAAAAAAAAAAAAAAAGCCCCTGCTCAAACACCTTCATTGGACTCCATCTGTCTTCTTCAGGGAGGGCACCATGAATTCATGGTTGAATGAATGAATGGGTGAATAAGTGAAGGACGGAAGCTCCCCTAGGAAGCCACATTTGGCCTGTTCTCTCCTGCTGGGACCCTGACTGGCCTCTCACCAGGGCCTCACCAGGGCCTTCTCTCTGAAGCTGAGACCACCGTGCCTTGCCCTGCTGAAGGCCTGCCAGAGCTCCCACCTATGTGGCTGGCATCCAGTGCCCTTGGTTCCTGCAGCATGTTCCTGTGCTCCCACTGGGCCAGTGCCTGCTCCTGGGGACCCAGAACAAATACAGGCTGAGCTAGGCCCAGGGCCCTCTCCTCCCATCCACTGCCTGGGAGCCTGTGCGGCTCTCCCACGCCCGTGTGAGTGCTGTGGTCTGCTGTCCCCTGTGTCTCGGTGTCTTGCAGCCTCCCTGTCATGGAGATCTTGTGTGGGAGTCCCTCCCCATCCCTGGATGTGCTTGGAGCAAATCTCTGGCTGCGTAACCCAGAGCAAGTGACTCAACCTCTCGGAAATGCTTCTCCCCTATAAAACAGGACCGAGAACCCCTGCGTCCCAGGGCTGTATTCACACATTCCTTCACCCACAGCACATCCTGCCTGCTGTGACCTATTGCCTGACCTGGGAGGGGCTGACCCAAGGGCAGCTATGCTTTTATTTCCTCAACTTTATTGAGGTGCACTGTGACAAATGTGTACACCCATGTAACTGCCACCACCACAGTCATGATGCAGAACATTCCGTCCACTGCAAAAAGCCCCTGTGGCTGTGTGCAATCACGCTGCACACTACCTCTGGCCCCAGGCACCGTGATCATCACTGTCACCATGGCCCCAGGCACTGATTGTCACCGTCACCATGGATTAGATTTGTCTTTCTTTGAGGAATCACAGAACACGTTGTCTTTGGTGTTGGGTCAGTGTCGTGGTTCTGAGATTCACCTGCACTTGTGTCCCTGTTGATCCTTTGAGTGTTCCACCCCACGGATAAACCACAGTGGGAATTCCATGCCACTGCCGGGGGCTTTGGGCTGTTTCCAGTGTGGGGCTGTTACAAATAAAGCTGTTAAGCATAGTTGCCAACACGCCTCTCCGCAGACACATGCTTTCTTTCCTTTTCGGTGAATACATAAGACGGGTTTTCTGATCATAGGCTCTGTGTGTTTAACTTTATCAGAAATGGCCAGACTGGTTTCCGTGGCAGCTGTGGGAACCATGCTGCATTCACCACGGCACCGGAGGGACGGTCCTCTGGCTTCACATCCTCACCAGCACTTGCCACGGTCCACCTTTTTAGTTTGAGTTGCTCTGATGGAGGTAAAATGTCATTTCTTTGTGGTTTTCATTTGCATACCCCTGTGACTAATGACAGTAAGCATTGTTTCATGTGTGGTGTTGGCCATTTGTATACATACATATACATATATATTTTAGATGGAGTCTTGCTTTGTTGCCCAGGCTGGAGTGAAGTTGAACGATCTGGACTCACTGCAACCTCCGCCTCCTGGGTCCAAGTGATCCTCCTGCCTCAGCCTCCCGAGTAGCTGGGATTACAGGCACCCACTGCCACACCTGGCTAATTTTTGTATTTTTAGTAGAGATGGGGTTTTGCCATGTTGGCCAGGCTGGTCTTGAACCCCTGACCCCAAGTGATCTGCCCGCCTCAGCCTCCCAAAGTGCTGGGATTACAGGTGTGAGCCATTGCGCCCAGCCTCTTTTGTCCATTTTTAACGGTAATTTTAGTCTTCTTATTATCGAGTTGTAAATAATAAGCATTTATATAGCAGTGCCTCATCGGACACAGGCATGCTCCACCAGCTGATGGCTTGCTGTTGCAGTTTCTCATTTTGCGTTTCCTTCAGCCCACAAAAGTTCCTAAGTTTATTTTGGTGCAGGTTGGCTGGCAACAAATTCTCTCAGCTTTGTGTGTCTATAAACGTCTTTGTATTGCCTTCGTTTCTCAGTAATGGTTTTGACATTACTTTGTTCACATACAATATAATGTACGATGTAAAATGGCTTCTAGCATATTCAGAGTTATGCAACTCTCACTATAGTCAATTTTAGAACAATCTCATCACTCGCAAAAGAAGTCCCATACCCTTTAGCAGTCTTGCCTTCATTTTTGGAAGCTTTTTGTGCTTAGTATAGAATCATTTGATAGGTGTTTTTCTTTCAGCATTTAAGAAGTGTGGTTCTATTGTTTTCTAGCATACATAGTTTCTGATGAGAAGTCTGGAGTCGTACGTTTGTTCCTCCGTAAATAATTTTTTTTTCGTCTTGCAGCTTTTAAGATTTCTTTTTAGCACTGGTTTTCAGCAATTTGATGATGGTAGAGTTGGTAGACTTTGATGTGTTTATTCTGTTTGAAGTTCATTGAAATTCTTGGATCCATATGTTTACAGTTTGCACCCAATTTGCAAAATGTTCAGCTATGACTTCTTTAAATACTTTTTGGTCTTCCCCATCCACCTAGATAGGGAAATAGATCTACACCCACAGATCACTGAGCTGCTTTTCGTGTTTTTCAGTCTTTTTTTTCTCTGCTTAAGTTCGAATTCTTCCTCTTGCTGTGCCTTCAAGTTTACTGGCATCTTCTTGTGAAATACGCAATCTACTGCTAATTCCTTTTAGGAGATTTCCCACTTCAGCCATTATATTTTGCATTTCTACAGGCATACCAATGGCTTCTTTTTACATTTTCCATAACTCTATTTATGTTCATGTTTCCTTAAAATACTTAAACATATTTACAGTAGCTATTTTAAAGTCACTATCTGCTCATTTCACCATTCCTGTCATTTCTGGGCCTATTGCCACTGACTTTTCTTCTGGCTTGGGGTCACATTTTCTAGTTTCCTTTTATTAGATTGCTGCTTTTTACTATTAATTTTTTTTTTTTTTTTGAGATGGAGTCTTGCTTGGCTGCCCAGGCGGGAGTGCAGTGGCCTATGTTGGCTCACTGCAATATCTGCCTTCCAGGTTCGAGTAATTCTCCTGTCTCAGTCTCCCAAGTAGCTGGGACTACAGGCGTGCGCCACCACACACAGCTAATTCTTGTATTTTTAGTAGAGATGGGGTTTCACCATGTTGGTCAGGCTAGTCTTGAACTCCTGACCTTAAGCAATTCACCCACCTCAGGCTCCCAAAGCGCTGGGATTACAGGTGCGAGCCACTATGCCCAGCCCTTTACTATTACTTTTAATGACAAAATTCACAATTACTTTGGCAACAACCTAATACAACTAGTAATTTCTTTCTTTTTCCTTCCTTCCTTCTCTGTCTTTTCTTTCTTTTTCTTTCTTTTCTCTCTTTCTTTTCATTCTCTCTCTCTCTTTTTTTTTAGGGTCTTGCTCTATTACCCAGGCTGGAGAACAGTGATGTAATCATAGCTCACTGCAGCCTCAAAATCCTGGGCTCAAGCAATCCTTTCAACTCAGCCTCTCAGGTACCCAGGACTACAGGCATGCACCACCATGCCAGGCTAATTTTTAAGTTTTTTGTACAGACAGGGTCTTGCTATGTCATACAGGCTGATCTTGAACTCCCAGCCTCAAGTGATCCTCCCATCTTGACCTCCCAAAGTGGATGGATTACAGGCATGAGCTGCCATGCCCAGCCGTCACTAGCAATTTTTGATTGGCTATTTAACACTTATAAATTTTATGTTGTTGTATGCTGGATTTTTAAACATCTTCTTGTGAAAAGTGTTGGGCTTTGCTCTGGCAGGGAGTTTATTTGCAGATCAGTATGACTTAAAAAAAAATAATCAATTTAAACAACAGAGGTGGGGTCTCTTTACGTTTCCCAAGCTGGTCCCCAATCCTGGTCTGAAGTGATCCTCCTACCTTGGCCTCCCAAGGTGCTGGATTATGGGTGTGAGCCTCCGTGCCGAGCCGGCATGATGTTTCTGAGGGTCGTGCTGTACTTTGGTAGAGCAGGTTCACTGTAGCCCCCACTCCAGGGCTGTTTTGTCCTCTGGATAAGGCCTGTCTCTTTGGTGTCCACACTGCATGCCCTGGCATTCAACAAGGAACCTCTGCCCTGGACAGGACTCAGCTGTTTCCCAAATCCAGGAATTGTTTTGCTTGCAGCAACCTGCTCATTCTCTGACCCACTGTGTGAAATTCTTCTATGACTACAGGGCTTCACATGTGGTCAAAGACTCCCAGGCCCCATGTAGATGGGCGCTCTTGCTCTGCCGTGCCCCCACCCCTCTGGGCTTCTGCCCACCACGCTCCAGCTGCACCTTCCTTTCTGGTCACTGTCTCCTGGCTCAGGACGATGCCACGGTCTCCTCGGGTCTCGCCCCCAACGCCATGCTATCCTTCCGGAGCTGCCCCCAGGAAGGAAGCTGGGCGATCACAGGCCTCGCCTCACTGTTTCCTCCTCTTAGTTCTGAGCTCTAGGTTCTGGAAACGGTTGTTTCGTATGTTTTGTCCAGTTTCCTAGTTGTTGACGGTGGCTGGACAAGTCCGGTCCCAGTGACTCCAACACGACCAGAGTTGTCTGTTATTATCGGTAAAATTATTAATAGAGTAACCAGAGGCGATCTCACAGCAACTGTGAGATGGTAACCCTCATCTCTAAGCTACGTACACAAAAAGCAAACAGGCGGATAATCCCTGGGAGAGGTCTGACCCAGGTCATGCCATGATGACACAATCCCTAGGGTGTCTCTCTCCCTGGAAACACTTCTTGCCATGGTCCCCTCCTGTCCTCTGCATCCTCTGACAAAAGTTCCATTTCTGTCCCGGGCACACGCTGTAACCACAGGGAGCTGCTTTGGAAACAACATTGAAAACGCCCCTGCAAGCTGGGTGTGGCGAGGCAGGGAGTGCAGGACAGAAAATACGCTGCTTTCATGTTTTCATTCTTTGTTTTCTGGAAACAGAACATTTCCTGTGGGAGGAACGGGTCGGGGGCTGCGGAGGGAAGGGGGAGGCAGGGGCCGCGTGGGAAGGCTGCCTGCGGGACGCACGGGCTTGCCGTGTCACGCAGGCTGCTCTTGAACTGGCCTCGACCCCGTCTCCGCAGCCAGCCCTCGCGGCACGCTTGCTCGGTGCCAGGCAGCAGACCCAGAGAGGAGCAGCCAGCCCGCCCTGGCGGAGCTCCCTGGAGGAGGGTGCAGACTGCGGCCCGGGTGGGGGGGCACAGGAGGGCGCGGGAAGAAGAAAGGAAGGGAGGGCGGGAAGGAGAAAGGCCCGCTCACTCACCGGCACACGGCGCACACGAAGCAGTCGGGGTGGTAGGTCTTGCCCAGCGCCGACACCACCTCGCCCTCGATGAACTGGTCGCAGCTGAAGCAGCGGGTGCCGTAGAGCCTCTGGTAGTCCAGCGTGCAGATGTACTCGCCCTCCCGCACGAAGAAGCCGCCCTCCGCCAGGTCGCAGCCACATGCTGGGGAGGACGGGCGGGGCGGCGTCAGCGGCAGAGGGGACCATCTCCGTGTCCCCACCCAGGTCCCAGGTGGACCCCCCTCCACGAGCACGCCACCACCTGACACGAGCCCCGAGGCCTCGGCACACGCTCGGGGCAGCTTCGGCACTCGCTCGGGGCAGCTTCGGCACTCGCTCGGGGCAGCTTCGGCACACGCTCGGGGCAGCTTCGGCACACGCTCGGGGCAGCTTCGGCACACACTGGGGGCAGCTTCGGCACACACTGGGGGCAGCTTCGGCACTCGCTCCGGGCAGCTTTGGCACACACTGGGGGCAGCTTCGGCACTCGCTCGGGGCAGCTCCGGCACGCACTCAGGGCAGCTTCGGCGCACTCTCGGGCCAGCCCTCGGCATGCGCTCAGGGCAGCTCTCCACACACGCTCGGGGCAACTTCGGCACACACTGGGGGCAGCTTCGGCACACACTGGGGGCAGCTCTCCACACACGCTCGGGGCAGCTTCGGCACACACTCGGGACAGCCCTCGGCATGCGCTCAGGGCAGCTCTCCACACACGCTCGGGGCAGCTTCGGCACGTGCTCGGGGCAACTCCAGCACCACTCGGGGCAGCTTCGGCACCACTCGGGGCGGCTTCGACACACACTCGGGGCAGCTCCGGCACCACTCGGGGCAGCTTCGGCACGCACTCGGGACAACTCCGGCACCGCTCGGGGCAGCTTCGGCACGCACTCGGGGCAGCTTGAGCACGCTCTCGGGGCAGTTCCGGCACCACTCAGGGCAGCTCACTCGACTCTCGGGGGCCGGGCTCCTGCGACAGGCTCCAGCTCTGGCCCCTGGCCTGGCGTTGAGTGGACTTTCCTAACAGAAGCTGGGAAAAGGGCGCTGACTGGGACAAGAGCCGGGCTCCCCCGAGGGGCTGCCCAGCCTCCCACCCTCACTAGGGGCCCCCAGCCTCCATGACCCCACCAGGGATGGCCCCTGGGCCCTTCCTGTCCTCAGCGGGCTGTTTCCAGCACTGGGCATCCAGATCAGGAAGGGGCTAACGCCTGGTCACCTACTGTGTGCTAGACCTCATGCTGGGGCTGAAGGTCCCTGGGAGGACGGATCATGTCCTTGCGGTCAGTCCCTCCAGTCCACCCCGAGGCTTCCCGGGCCCTCCCCCACTCGTCTGTGTCTCCACGTCCCCATGGCCCTCGACGCCTGTCTCCCCACAGCATGGCCGAGGCCAGACCCTGCAGGAGGAGAGGGCCTGTGGATTCCTGAAAGGGAAGCTCTTCGTCTCTTTTCCCAACAGACACCTGCCCCAGGACGCTGAAGCCCGGAGCTCCGTGGAGGGGTGAGGGACCTCTGCCAGGTGGGGAAGGGAACACTCCCCCTGAGGACAACCTGCCCGTCACCACCAGCTCAGAGGCCCCCAATCTGCGTCCTGAGACATGAGCGCATTCCTCCCATAAGCTCCCCTCCAGTGCCAGGGCAACGTGGGAGCCACGCGTGGTTTCAGAGGGAGCGGCCCACAGCCTCCCCCAACCCAGTTGGCCCAGGGAGGCCCTGCTGGAGTCACAGAAGAAGCCCCTGCCGCCCCAGCCCCACTGGCCTGGTCAGTGCTGGGTCCTGCCTGCTGGGTCAGTGCAGCTCCCAGCCACCGCGGAGGGGCTTTGAGAAAGAAACCATGTAGCCCTCATTAATTTAAAGCTGACATCTAAAAGTTTTCATCACCATGTGAACTGCTTGCAAAGGATGCTGTTTCTACATATTGTAAATATGGGTGCCTTTAACGTTTGGAGGGCATCCAGTGGGATATCGAGGCCAAAGTAAGACCCTCAATATCTGCCTAAAAACCCTTGACGGCACTCTAGGAGCAAACCAGCTGGAAGCACCAGTGTGGCTGGAAAACTTTCATTCTGGGATTTAGTTGTCTCCATTTCTCCAAAGAGAAGTTCGCCCTTCTGATAGGGTGAGACGTAAGCCGAGCAGCTTAGATTCCAGACGCCGGAGCTGCCTGGGTTCGAATCCCAGCTTCACCCACATAGTGCACTGTGTGTCCCTGGGCAAACTCCTTAACCTCTCTTGGCCTCCTTGTCCTCATCTAGAACACAGAACGTATTTCAGGGGGGCGCACGGCAGCACAGAGAGCATCCCGTGAGCCAGTGCGACGTGAGACCTGAGTCCCGCCTGGCCCAGCGTCGAGGCCCGGGCTGCTGCTGTAATGGCCGGAGATGCTGACTCTGAATTTCGTCTCAATGTGCGAATGAAAACCCAGAATGAAACCCAGCCTGGGCGGTCTGGGAGGGAAGAGGGAAAGGTGTAAGATGCCTGCACTCACTCCTCCCAGGTGTTCTGGGGCGTTTATGAGAAACAGCCAAGGGCTCCCAGCATCAAAGGGAAGCTCCAGGCAGCTGGGCCTCAGCCTCAGGCCAGGGCAGCAGTGCTCTGCACGCACGTTCTGGCTCATGAAAACCCAGAATGAAATCCGGGCCGAGGGTGAAAACGCTTTGTCTGATCTGCACCATAGGGTAGACCAAGCAAACGCATCCCGACTGTGGAGGAGCAGAGACTCCGGGGCCTCACTTTGGAGAGTTCTAGTATTCTGATATCAGCGCCGCCAGCACCGAGGCAGCGGCGGGGCGGCGGTCGGCACACGGCACTGATGGCTCTCACCGCTCTGCATTTGTCTATTTCTCTATTCTTCATAAGACGGCATGGGCTGTGGCTTGAAGGAGAAACGGGGGCAGTGGCTCTAGCGACCCACTCCAGCGCCCTGAGGCCCCTCCCAGGAGCACCAGGCAAGTTAGCATGTCCAGCCCCAGCCGTTACCTGGGAGGTTGCTGGTCAGATTCTAGCGGTCCTGAGTATGCCAAGGTCACCGCAAGGCGGTTAGATCCCAGACCTCTGTCTGCTAAAAGTAAAACGTTCAAGTCCCCTGGTCATTTTAGAAATCCTTATGGACACAACACATTGTTCTTATATTGCATTTTGCAATTTATCAAATTAGCACAGACACTGGGGACAGGCAGGGCAGGTGGGGGGATGGGAGCACCATCCTTCAGGCACACGCTGCGGTCATTTACGAGAAACAGGCAGGAGACGGTAGCGGGCAGGCGGGGACAAATGTGAATCAGCACCGCTTTCTGGAATACCATTTGGCACTGACGCTAAGGAATGTGAAAACTGTTGCCGCCCTTTGACCCAGCAGTCCCTCTCCTGGGATCCATCCCAAGGAAATGTCCATGACTGCCACAGTTCCCTGCATTATGGGGACAATAAAATGCCATAGATGTCACAAATAGATGCCTGGGCTTTAGTGTCAGGTAGCCTGAGCTTGAGCTTGAGTCCTTGCTCCTACCATTTCCCAGCTGTGTGACCTTGGCATAGTTACTTGCCCTCTCTGAACCTCAGAGTCCTTATGTGTAGAACAGAGTTAGCAATACCAGCCTTCTGTGGTGGCTGTGAGAAGCCAATGGGTTGAGGTCTAAAAAGCCGATTAGCCCAGCGTCTGGCTGGAAATGATGTCAGCACCCACCAGTGCAACAGGGACGACTGAGTTTACTGTGGGGCATGTGCTTGAAGGAATTTGGGAGGATATTGACATGAGTGTTGAAGAATGCGTATAGTGAGGAAGGTGCCCACACGCTAACTGACGTGAACGAATCAGGTGTACGGCACCTTCAAATTTTAAAGAGACTCAGACAAAGGGAAGACCAGAGGAATATACACCCAGACCCAAGCAGCAGCCATCCAGGGTGCTGTCCACCGCTGCTCTCTGTTTCTCTATATGGGTGAGTGGAAGGAGATGCCAATTCACATCAAAACACACAGAAAACAGAGAACCCCGGGGGCGTGAGCGAGCCTGAAGCTGGGCCAGGGCTCCAGGGCTGGGCAGTCATTGCAGTGCCGAGTCTTGGCCCAGCCTGGCTCAGGGGCCCCTTCCGTGAACAACAGGGCAGATGTCATCTGAGATTCCTCCTGCCGGGACTTTCACAACCCTGCCATGTGATCCCGACACTCCTGGCGCCCTGCGAGTCTCAGGCTGTGCGGAAGGAACAAGGAGTGCCCTGGGCCGGGGCCGAGGCCCACCTGTCTGGAGCTTCCCTTTGAGGCTGGAGGCCCATGGCTGTTTTTCATAAACGCCTGGAATGCTCCGGAAGCGCGTGTGCAGGCATCTCACACCACTCCTTCATTCCTCCCAGCCTGCCTAGAACAGGTGGCTATTTATAGTCCCAGATGGAAGTATCTGCAGGGACAATGCCACCTGCCTTACCCACGCAGTTCACGGCTCTCCTCCCGGACATGCGTCCTTCCCTCCCTGCCTATTTTCTTGGCTCCTGCTAAGGTTGTGGACTTGCTCAGTTCTGCTTCCAACAGGACCAGAAGATGCCTGCCTTCCCGAGGGTACATGTGGATATGGCTTCGTCTTTTCATTGTTGCAGTGTCCCTGGGCATTCCGAGGAGGGACATGACAGACCACAGTGAAAACAGCATACTCCCAAAGCACAGAACTCAGCCACCCTTCCAAGGCCAGGTGCACCAGATTCGTTTCTCCAGGCGCTCTGTGCTATGGGTTTGACGTATTTATGTTCAACATGTGTTCGCATTTGTAGGGTAAGGACAGGGCCAGCTGGATCTCAAAGACATCCAGAATCAGACATCTTCACACTCCTCATCCCAGCCGCTGTCAGCTCCAGCCTTGGCACCTGCTCCTGCCTCTGGCCTCCTTCTGACTCCTGTCCTGGTCTCCCTCACCAATGAGCGCCCAGCAATCCATGGAAACCTGTGAGGACAGAGCGGGACCCTCCTCTGCACTTCCTCGCCGGCATCAAAGCCATGGTCCTCACAGGGACGTGGCGGCTCACCCTTCCTTATCCCTTTGTCATTCTGCTCCAGCCACATGGGCCTCCTGCTGTTCCCACACCTGCCTGCTTTAGGCTGTGCGCTGGCTGTTCCTCTGGTGGGAACGCTCTTCCCTCACATGAGTGAATGACTAACTCCCTCATCTCTTTCCAGGCTTGGCCCGAAGATCACCTCCTCCGTGAGGCCCACCCTGACCACCCAGTTTGCATCTTTCCTTCCCTAGCAGGGAACACTTTCTAGCACATGATGAAATTTGCTTCTTTATCGTGTTTATCATCTGTTTCTTTGCATTAGAACTGGTCCCTGTGAGGACAGGATGTCTGTTTTGTTCACGGCTGCCTCCCAAACACCCTGAACCGTGCCTAGCACATAGTAGGTGCTCAATAAATAGTTGTCAAATGACTTTTACTTAGAAAACCTGGGTTGAGACACTTGCCTAAGATCCACATAAGCTGTGGGTGACAGAGGTGGAATTTGAATCCCCAAGCCTGGGGCAGCCATGGACAAAAGGATAATCATAAGATTTCTTTCACAGATTTTCCCTGGTAAACTGAGGCACGAGTAAATGCCTGGGTAGTGGGAACCCAACACAGTGGGACCTCTCGAATCAGAATTGGGTTGTGACACAATCGTCTTCCCTGATAGCAGACCCTGCTTTGGCTCACCTGGTGACGTGCCTACCGAGGGTGGCCATGGCTGGGCTAAGTCAGTCACGACCCTCCTGTTCCTCTTTGTCAGGGGAGGGTGAATGTTTGACAGAGTTCTGGCCAGTGAATCATATGAGGAGTCTTTGGTGAACTACAGGGAAAGGGCTCTCCTTCCTAATGAGAGGGAAGGTTACGCAAGGAGAGGGCCTTTGCCTGCGCACATCTCCAGGCTGGATGCCATGCTGTGAGTGTGATGTTGGAGCAGCGGCAGCCATCTGAGACCGTGAGGAGAGGTGTGATGTTGGAGCAGCAGCAGCCATCTGAGACCGTGAGGAGAGGTGTGATGTTGGAGCAGTGGCAGCCATCTGAGACCATGAGGAGAGGTGTGATGTTGGAGCAGAGGCAGCCATCTGAGACCATGAGGAGAGGTGTGATGTTGGAGCAGAGGCAGCCATCTGAGACCATGAGGAGAGGCACTGCTGACATGCACAGGGGGCAGTGTGGGAGAGGGAGCATTTGGGCATCTGTGATGACCCCGGTGACTTGTTTAATTAGCCAACCCTGGGGTAGGGGTGTGTGTCTACCTCCAGACTTCATGTTAAGAAGATAAATGCCCATGATGGATATTTATGAGTTGGGTCTTCTTTTCATTCATCCCGAAGTACCCTCAGTGATTCATGCGCAGCATTCTCAGGAGAGCGTGGAGAGACTGACCCAAGACAGTGCGGTCCTTATGTTAAACAAGTGCTGCTCACTTGAAAGCGTGAGGGAAATCTTAGTTACTCCGTGCTGTTCTCCAGCAGGAGAAGCACAGGGCCCCGCACGGAAGGCAGAGCTTTCCTAGGGGAAGGGTGGCCACCACCCTGGCTGCTGGATCTGCAGAGCCAACAGGCCTGGCACACGTGCCTGGCACAGAGTGAGACTCTGACTGGCTGTGGGTGTATCTGCTGGATCTTGGCACTGGGCCTGCCCTCAGACCCCTGCCACTGCTGGAGCCCACGGTCATTAATCATCTTGGTGATGGAGTGCGTGTCCCCGGCCCTGGGCCAGCCTGCCATTGACACTGTCTCGTCCCACCGCCTGTAGCTGCCGAGGAAGAGGTTAGGGTTATTCCCACATCCACTGGAGGAGACAGGGGAGGGGGACCCGGGGCAGCCCCCACCACCCATAAAGCCCCGGGGTCACAGGAGGTGATGAACTTGACTCTGGGATCTGATGCATGCCCAAGGTCTGTGCTTACAGAAATCCTTTCAAATAAAGTGTAAGCTTCCCCTTTGTCTTTTAAAATAGGCTTTTAAAAAAAGCCCTCTAATGGATTTTGCTTTTTAGAAATGTGGCAAATGTATTTTTATGGAGAAAAAATTAGACCAGACAAATCCCACGATGCCCTGGAAAGCCCTAATGAAACGCATGAAATCTACCAGCTGCAGGGAGAGAAAGGCCAGGGCGGCGGCCACGCCTTCTCCCAGGGGAGTTGCGGGAATCCTGAGGTTCAGGAAGGCAGACTACCTGCTTGTTTACATTAATGCGTGAGGCTGAAGGCCAGCCACGCTCACGCCCACAGCTCGTCACCCACTCCCAGAAAACAAATCCTTCCCCGCATGTGCCAGAGTGTGTGTTGTTCATGTCATCATTCTTACAAAGCACTCCCCAGAGCTGCCGTCCTGGGGGCGTCCCTTGGTTCCCCCATATGAGGACTCGGCTTCCTGCTGCCTTTGTCAGGGCAGTGGTGATGGGGTACCCGGGACGTCAGGGTGCCGTGGGGAGACTTCACTGGGGCCCGAGCCAGGCTGTAGATATACAGGGGACTCCTGGAGCCAGGTGATTCTTGGGGCATCATGTGCTCCCAGTGATGTCCCTGATAGTCACCCACATCCTTGGACGGAGAGTCTCAGCATCTCTGAAAGGCGGGGCTGAGGTCTGCCTCAGCCCAAGGGATCCACGGCATTCCCACTCCTGCTGGAAATGGTGCAGCCCCCTTGGGTCCCGGGGCCAATGGAGAGCTGGCTGGGCTCAGCAGATTCCCTGAGTCACTGACCCCTGCAGGGCCCCATGGGCCTCGCTGTGGACTCTGGCCTCCTCCAGGGCCAGCGGCTCCAGGTCGTTTCTCGGATGTTCCCCTTTTAGCAGTGGGACAGTCTAGGCTGGTGGTTTTCAAGTTTCCTTTCCAAGCAACAGGACTGTACACACAGTCTTTACGCAGCGCCTGCACACACAAACTGGACAAGTGGACAATGGCCGCGCTCCGGTGGGCAGGGCTGGAGACACCACCCACTGCCCTCCTGCTCCCCCCACATCCGGGGACCCTCAAGGCGCCTCCACAGAAACCCAGGAGGGAAGACCCTGGCCCAGGAGCTGCAGACAGGCCAGGCAAGCTCCCAGCCTCCAGACCTCAGTGTCCCCCTCTCTGAGACGCAGTCACATGTCCCCGCTGGGCTGCTGGCGCCGGGAGGATTCCCGTGTCTGGAGCGGCCTTGCTTCTGGCAGGCAGATCCCCACTGTCTGGAGCCAGCACACCACCTCCCCTGCGAAGTCCTCTCTGGCATCTTCTAAATCCTTCCCTCTGGGTACCAACCACACACATGTGCTTAGTTTTCACTATCAAAAGTCATCTTTTCAAATCGTATCACACACCTTACCCATCATCAACTCCCTCACCAGACAGTGACAGTGAACACCAGACAGTGAACAAGCGAAAGCTTGCACCTTCTTTGTCTTTAGAACTTTCCAGAGCCTGGCGCACAGCGGGGCCTCCTAGACCCTTTGCGGAGCAGATGAGTGCAGCCAGCAACCTTTGGATGGGTCTGCCAGACTTCTGATGAAAATCATGACACTGCATTATCGGCTGTAGCACATTTCCTAATTTTCTTTGCCCAGAAAAAAGCAAGCCGTCAGCACACTGGGGTTCACTGGGTCGTTACGGTTAAGGGATTGTGAATCTCCAAATGGCCCGGGGGCTGTCACGGCAAACCTGTAGAATGCAGGCATGGACGGGGCCGCGCACCGCAGCAGGGATGTGCAGTGTCCTTAATGCAATTCCTTTAAGACGGCAAACTCCTTGGGTCAACAGCCATCAGACTGGTTTGATTTGCACATCCCTTCCCCCAGTGCTATTTTTAATCTGTTTTTAGAAAATTAGCAACGGCACATGAGCTATCTTTGTACAGGAAGTGAGAACAGGCTGGAGGGAGACTCTAGCACGGGCCGTCTCGGCTGGCAGGGCCTCACGTGATTTTTTTATTTCGTTTTACTTTTTTCTCATCTTTTCAGTATTATTGGAATTTAGTAGATTATTTACGTTATTGTTTTACAATCAGAGAGAAATGGAAGTGATTTTCATCAGGAATAACGGTAATGTGCTCGGTGCTGCTTCGGGTGGGGGTGCCCGCGTGCCTGTGGTCCAGCAAAGGTCCCGTGTTTCCCCCAGTGCTGAGTTCGTGCGGCTGACCATGGCCATTTACCTGTGTGGCTACGGTGCCCAGGTGGCCACCTTGCTCTGACCACAGGACCAGAATTCTCTGAGGCTGAGTGCAGCCACATGAGGACACCCCTGGGGACCTGGACCCTCATCCCCTGACCCTCCCCACTCCGACAATTTCTCCATCACACCCACAAGTGACAAGGGCTATGTTGAAAAGATCATGCTGTCCTATGAAGACTCCGTCCCCAGAGTGTTCTCCGGTAGCCCAGGCCTAAGCGGAGCTTCTCAAGGACACTCTGAGGACCTGGGATTGCCGCTGGAAGGCCTGTTTGAGGGGCTACAATGCAGGGGGCGGGGGCCACACTGCAGGGGGCGGGGCCAGGCTGCCGGGGGTGGGGCCACACTGCTGGGGGCGTGTCCGCTCACCTTTGCAGACGAAGCACTTGATGTGGAAGTACTTGTTCTGCACCCGCAGCACCTCGCCCTTGCACACATTCCCGCATGTGTTGCACAGGATGGCCGTGCTGGGCGACTTCTCCAGGGGGCTGGGAGCGGCTTGGGGCTGTGACACTGTCAGGAGAGAGAGGAGAGCGGTGTTAAAGGATGGGTATAGCAGCGCGTGGTGGCTCACGCCTGTGATCCCAGCATTTTGGGAGGCCGAGACGGGCAGATCACAAGGTCAGGAGTTCGAGATATGGCCAACATGGTGAAACCCCGTCTCTACTAAAATTACCAAAATTAACCGGGCATGATAGCAGATGCCTATAATCCCAGCTACTCAGGAGGCTGAGGCACAAGAATTGCTTGGGACGTGGAGGTTGCAGTGAGCCAAGATCTCGGCATTGCACTCCAGCCTGGGTGACAGAGCAAGACTCTGTCTTGAACAAAAAAAGGGGCGGGGGTGGATGTGTGAGGCATGAAGGTGAGCAGAGCAGGGTGTGAGGATGCAGAGCAGACCCTCCCAGCAGCCCCACGCCCACCAGCACAAGCCGGCAGAGCATCAGGGACAGTCTGTCGTCTCCTTTTGCCTGGGGACCCACAGGTGTCAGATTACAGAGGTGAGGGGCCAGAGGGCTAAGGCCATCTGGTCAACCCCTAGTGTGGGCTCCTGTCTACAGTAGCTCCATGCAGCGAGGGGCCCGGGCCACATCCACATGAATACCTGTGGCAATGAGGCCATCATCCCCCCAACCTGAAAGATGATCCAACTGCTGCTGCCTTCACCTGGCGCAGCCTTACCCTCCGGGGTCTCGGGGCAAGGCACCCCTCTGTGAGCTCAGTAACCCTCAGCAGCAGGAGCCAGCACCCTCTCTTCTGCAAGTACAGCAGCCATGGTCCTCAGGGGAGCTCACTTCAAATTTCCTCGGGGTCCTGGGACGTGGAGCTGAATATTGCTGCTGTTCCCTTAAATCCCCCTTAAAGCCACCACAGTTCAGGCTGTTTAAGGAGTAGCCGGCTGGATGGACAGGTCAGGATGGATGGTCATAGAGCCTGACTGTGGGGCTCCCGGGGACTGGGCAGGGTGACACACTTCTCATCACCACTCTCCCAAAGCATCTACAGAGACCAGTACCCAGGAAAGGGGCCACGGCACAGAAGCCTCAGGCCTGCCCTTCCAGGGGCTCCCCGTGGCCGTTAGGGATGGCCAGGTGAGCAACAGTGACTGCCAGGCGGCCGGGTGGGCATCACTTTGAAGCTTGAGGAGGAGTTGGTAGATGGAGGTGTGGGAGCTGGGCCTGGAGCCCCGCCAGGCACAGAGCTAGCCGCACAGGACCCGGGCAGAACCCAGGCAGTGGGTCCTGGGGTGCCGGCAGAGAGGAGCAGCTGATGCTTGGCAAGTGCTGGCCTGTGAGAGTGAATCAGCCTGGGGGCCAGGGCAGGCACAGGCGGCAGGCAGGAGGCTCTGTGGCCAGTGCTGTGCTCCGCAGAACAATGCCCCCAAGACGTCCCCATGCGAATCCCCGGAACCTGTGCCTACACCCCTGACAGGCGCTCGCAGGTGTGAGTAAGCTAAGGGCTTTGATGGGATATGATCTGGATGGTCTAGCTGAGCCCAATATCATCACAGGGGCCTTAAAATCAGAACATTTTACGACTGTGGCCAGAGGGAGACGTGACTGTGGAAGAAGGTCAGGGAGATGACACACTGCTGGCTTTGAAGGCAGAGGAAGGGGCCACAAGCCAAGGAATGTGTGTGCCTCCCGAAGCTAGAATAGGCAAGGAGAGAATTCTCCTCAGTTCCCAGAAGGAACCAGCCCTTCTCATACCTTGATTTTAGCCCAGCAAGACCTGGTGGCCCTGCGACCTCTGGAATTGTAAGCTAATAAACTTGTGTTGTGTTCCCTTTGCGGTCACTTGTTAGAGAAGCCAGGGAAGCTAATGCAGCTTCCCTGTCTGACCCATCAGACAGGCGGGGATACAGGGGCCGAGGCACCGAGCCGCTTCCCTCTGCATCCTCATCTGGGAGTGAGAGCCAGCGACAGCAAGCACCCCCCAATGCAGCAACCCAGGGCGGGCTTTCATGCGGCCAGCGCTGCGCCCCGTGCCTTCTGCTCATGCCAAATTCACCCTGAACGATCTCATTCAGAGACTGGACACCCAGACAACGGCTAGGTGCAGGAAAGCCAGTGCTCAGACCACACCCATAGCTGCCGGCCCAGGGCCGAGCCCGGCGTCGGCACCAGCCGGGAAGCCAGCTGCGCGGCAGACCCGCAGGGAGGCCACTGCTCTCCCTCGACAGCCCAGAGGCCAAACAACAACTCGGTCCCACATGGCCAGGACTTGACCCACAACTCACAGCTGTCCTCATTTGTGCCCCCGCTTTCCAGTTAGGCTCATTCAGAGAAAGCCAAGCACTCCCCTAACCAGTCACATGAGATGCCCCCTTCCGGGGGCCGCCTGTAGTCCCCTCAGGCCGACAGCCTCCATGGGGGCTCGCCGGGAGCCGTCCTTTCCCCTGGGAAAGTGGAGGCTTCCCCACTGTTTGCCTGCCCCTGTGGCCGACTCCCTTGCCATAGCGGCTCTGAGAAGGTCGAACCCACTTGTCCTCACGCCTTCCTTTATTTCCACAGCACTGTAATGCCAGCTCCTCCTGTCTTGATCTAGGTTCCCTTGAAGCCGGTCTCAAGATAAGGCTGGCCGTGCGGTGGTCTATTTCGGGGGTCCCAGGTGCCAGGTTGGAGTGAGGAGCCAGGAAGGTGAAAGCGTGTGGCAGATGTGTTATTGAGCCACTCCCAGAGTGGGTGGGGGGCCTCACGGCTTGGGGCCCTCCAGGAAACCCTGAGGAGCGTACCCCAGCCCATCCCTCAGAAGGAAGGGAGGCTGGGAAACTGGCCCCCCACCGCCTTTCCCTCCACTGCCTGGCCCCCGAGTGCAAGAGCTGCTCCAAGGGCGGAACCCCCAGCCCCTCTTCTGGGCTGCCTGGCATCTGGGCTGAGTGAGTTTCTGAGGCACAGAGCCAGGGACGCTGCAGGTGCCAGGGCTGGGCAGGCTGCAGGCGATGGCACACAGCCCACCTGGCTGCAGTGGAAACCACAGGTGGGCTGAGGGGTGGGACACAGGCCCAGAATGCACCTGCCACCCTTCATGTGAGAACTAAGCTTATTCACACACAGACGCACACACTCACATCTATTTACACAATTGCTCAACGCCAGCACTGATTGAGCTCGGGGCCTGGAAGTTCTCCTCACCCCCCTGGTAAAAATCCAGCAATTGCATCTCAGACAGAGGGGGCCATTTCCTCATCCAGTTCCACCCTGCCCCACCCATTTCCAGAATCCCCATCCCGGAAGCCAGCGATCTGGCCACCCATCCTCTCCTGCCCATGGTGGAACTGAGATGGGACAGCACGGAGGAGGAACCTGGGTCACACCGGGCAGCAGCTCTTCCCAGGCTGGGAAGAGACCAAGGGTGGTGGATGTCAGCTGTCTGGGGACGAGGGAGATGGGTCAGCCAGGGAAGCAGGCACAGGAAAGGAGATGAACAGCATGAAAAGTAACTTGGTGCCATCCTAGCCCTGCCTCTAATTTTACAACCTGGACAGGGCAGAGCCCAGCAAGGGTCCCCCTGGGCGCAGCCGCTGGAGGCCACTGCGGCCTTTCTCACTCTGGTGGAATCCACAGCAGGTTTGTCCCACATGCCTTTTGCTTGCAGTCATTGCAGAAACCACCTCATTGATCATTTAATAAAGACAGTGGGGAGGGGGCAGAAGGCGAAGGTTTTCTGGGCAGGTATCTAAGCCTCCTGGCGCAGAGCAAGGATTAGAACTGTGGACTCAACTTCAAATGGTGCCTCTCTTGGCCACGCGTGGCTCAGGCCACCGGGGCCCCTGTAAGCTGCTGTGTGAGTGACACACCTGGTCCACATCCGAGGCTCAGTCAGAGCTCACAGAAGTGGGGGCTGCAGTCTTCAAGACTCTTATGTTCTCCTCTATTGGCAACACGGAGAACAGCACACACAAGTCTCTTTGTGATCCGCTAAGGCGGGGTTCATGCTGCTGGAATCCGGCCCGAATCCAGCCTGAGAGAAGCATCAGCTTCAGATTCCCGGGAGCAGTGCTGGCGGCGGGGTCAGGTGGACTCTGAGGCAGCCTCAGCTTCTGCATGCTGTGACCCCAGGTAAGTCCCTGAAACTTCTGGCCTTCCGTCTGTGTGTCTGTCTGCTTCTCCAGCCAGGCATCTGTCCTCTTCTGCGTTACCTGGCCCCTGGGATGCTAGGACCATGGGCAAACTGGTGCTATGGTTCCCATAGCAACCAGCCCAGCAAACAGTAAGTGCTCAATACACAACTGCCATTGTTATTTTCGAGAACACTGGCCTGACATCACCCATTTCCAGGAGATTGGAAATATAGTTGGTCAGGGGTGGCGGGGGGTTGGGGGGAGCTACTAAGAGCGTGGACTTGCTTGGAGGCCCCAACCTCACCCACCTGGGCCGCCTTTGGGGTGTCCTGGGGCCGTAGGGTCGTGGCAGAGGCACTGCTCTCTCACCATGGGAGGTAGATACCGTGCCGTGAGGACCCCGCTGCCTCCAGGCAGGTGACGCTCCTACACATTTCCCTCCAGCTGGCCCTGCCCGGCCCTGGGACCACAGGTAGGTAAATTGGTGTGCACCTGCCTCCCAAGGGGGTTCATTCCTTGTCCGGCTGCAGCTGCCAAATTTTGAAGATGGGCACGCAAGGAGGCCAGGGAGGCAACGGCAAAACCCTGCGAAAGCAGGGGCCAGGCTCTCCTCAGTCCCCCAGAGCCTGGCCCAAAGTAAGCCATGTGCTTTATACCGAAAAGAGAAGTTTCAGGTTGTCCTTCGGCAGGTGAATGGATAGACGAACTGTGGTGTATCCAGACGATGAAATATTATTCAGCAACAAAAGAAGCGTGCCATCACACTGTGAGAAGGTATGGAGGAGCCCTCGTTGAATATGGCTAGCAGGAAGACGCCGGCCTGAAAAGGTTACGTCCTGCAGGATTCTAATGATGTGACATGCTGGAAAAGGCAGAACTAAGGAGACAGGGAAAGGATCAGTGGTGGCGAGGGCTGGGATCGACGGAGCACAGGGGATTCTTAGGGCAG